TCTGTCAGAACTTTAAAGGTGCTGTTTGTTGCTGGCTGCTTGATGGTTTTGGGCCGATAGGTCCTGTGCTAAGCAACTATAATAAAAAAAAACGAATATTATAATGCACCCATATTTATGGACATTAGACCCATTGAAATTTCTCGTTGTATCGAAGTGCAGAATAAGGCAATACACAATTTTGAATAAATACAAATTACATTTGTGTCTGCGTAACTTATGTTCTGATACTCCTCCAATCCCTGCCCTCCAAAACGATTCAAATAAAAATCGACGAATGGTTTTGCAACGCTGCTGCGTTCCCAGTGGGTGCACCAACAAGGTCACAAACAAAACGAAACTGAACACGTGCGCCAATCACACTGTGGTCTTAAAAGGAAAACAAAAATATTTCACGGGAAACATTTTAGGCAATGGCCCTTCTTGATAGCACATCGTTGGAGACATCCGATTGCCCTTACGGGAATTCTTCCGATTGTTCGAGCCGTTGCGTGGATAAAAGTGATGACCTTAACATTACAGAAACTTGATCATATCCACGTTTATCCATTGAATTCCTGCTCGGATAATAGGATTAAAAATATCCCCGGATAAATATATGCAAAAGCGTCCGCCCTTTATCACCTCCACAAATCAAATAAGAGTGGCTGCTGAACTCGTATGGAAGTCAGGTTCGGTTACATTCTCAAAGTCTGTATAATCTGGTCTGCATGCTTTAGCCTGCCTTGAACCATGATGGCCACTGCACTTGATCGAGAGTGGCTCATTGTACGCTCACCTTTTGGGGCTTTTGTTTCTTCTGTATTTGTTCTAGATTTGAAGCTTTCGTGACTGCAAGGATTCATACTCTTAGTTCTTTCGGTAAAGTCACGTAGGTAAAAATGAAATAAAAATTAATAAAAAAATAAAACAATGAAAAAGACTTGTGTTGCCTCCGAAACGTCGTGATTTTCATTGTTTTATTTTTATTAATTTTTATTTCATTTTTACCTACGTGACTTTACCGAAAGAACTAAGAGTATCTTCTGTATTTGATATCTGGGGCTTGTTTGGCCGGGGGAGGCAACAGGCTTGGGGAGGAGGAGGAAGCAGAATCAGCATCTGTATTTAGACTGGAGGAATCCGATGAGCTATTAAGCTATTTTTCATAGATGTTCAGTAGTTGGCGGGTCACAAGGTTACAATAGCAAACAATGCAAAAAACATGATAGGAGTTGCAAAATATAGGAAATGTAAGCAAATTACTTTTAAAATAAAGTCACGTAAAAGTGAAATAATAAAATAATTAAAATATAACACAATAAAAATTCTCACGACGTTTCGACTGCAACACAAGTGTGAAATCCACAGCAAGAAAATTGGATGATGATTGCTTGTGTTGCAGTCGAAACGTCGTGATAATTGTTATTGTTTTATATTTATTTTATTTTATTATTTTACTATTTCCCCTCTACGTGACTTTACCGAAAGAACCAAGAATATGAATCCCTGTTGTCACGAAAGCTTTAATTAAAAAAATGTAAATAAAGTTTTTTTTTTTACCGAGTTAAGTCCACTGAGCTATTAGCTTATTTTTCACAAGCGATCCGGCTATCGCAAGTGATGGCTCAACGAGGTAGCTCATAGCGTGGTAATTTTTAGCGGCCAAAATTTGTAAATCTAAACAACCTAAAACGCGTGTGTATAAAGCAGCGTGACCGGTAGTGAGCTCCACAGTCGGTGATGAGGCCTCCAGTCTCGACACTTTCACCTGCCAGCAAGCGTCGCGTGACAGTTTTTGCTGGAGGCAAAATCGCGTACATTTCGGTTGCACGGCACAACCAGATCCGTTTATCGCAATTTGGCTTGTTGGCAATGTCCTGTTGACAAATACACGGAGTCCTCGAGTGAGGTTTCACATTAAATGTGTAACTTGCCACGAAAAAAACGTCTGCTATCACGGGGATAATCTTAGATTGCTCTAATTGCTATCGGGCACTTAATCCTACCCAAGCTGCACCAACGCCTGTCCTAGCCTGGATTGTTTCCTTGGGCATTTGCCCAGACGAGTAAAATTGCAAACTAGCACTAAATGAGGCTGGGGCTTAGTTGCTTTGAAGGCCAATCCTGTAATCTTTCCCGACCGCATTATTATTTTTGGAAGAACTCCATCCGACTTCCATTCTCTCTTTATAAATTTTATACCCACGCCTCTGAATTATTACACCGCGTTTGCACATCATAATTTTGTCAAGACTGCCTATACTTTAAATAAAGCCCCTGGATAGTCGCTGCATTTACTTTAAATATATTATCGGAGGGCATTTTCAACCATGACCACCACCACCACCACCCTCCCACCCCACCCTTAAAAAGTTAAAGTTTACAAAGAGAAATGTTCAAATAATTATTAATAAACGCATGGCTTCATACTGAATATTGCGTTCGCAATTGCCGTTAACGCTTCCAGTTGCTGGATGACTCACTCGGCACCCTGTGTGCGCGCGCTCGCGTTCAGACAAAATATTTTCTTTGGGGGGGGGGGGGTGAGTGGGTGTGATTTTTGCGCAGGTGATGCGAATTATCCTTGCAGGGGCAAGCCCCCTCTGCTTGCTTTGAAACGCGCTGCGGTGGCAGGCACGCGGCACGGACAAGCCAGACGGGTGACAAACTCGGAGAGTGATCTTCGGCCTTGGCGGCAGACGTCATTTGATGCTAAGTCCGTATAATTCTACGCCGCGGCATCCTGGTGAATCCGAAAGGGACGTTCGTTGACGAATGAGGAGTGGTGACACTGCATTGTTGCTATGTGCAAGCAATTTGCACGCGGCGTTAGAGAGGCGAATGAATCACAGTGAATTTTGGCCACGTTCACTCGGCGGTGGCGCTAATGAGCGACTCGCGGTCCGAAGATTGCGAGCTCAAGTCCTGGTTTGGGGGATTTGGCTCAGCTCATCATCGCAACATGGTCGATAAAGCTTGTATCACGTGTTGGCTGCAAGAGTCACGTGAACCCATCATGTCCAATGTATATGAATAAACACACACTAAAACCCACATCAATTCTTACACGTGTTTCAAGACACGCATAGTATGACTTTAGATAATCAATATTCACTGCATATACAGTAGTTCGTCGTTTTGTTTCAGCACGTGTGTTCATAAACACACGTATGTGTCCTTGCGATTTGCATCAGAGAATTGGTGTCAGGTGCAACATTGTTGTTCAATTGCATTTAGGCTTCACCATTTGATTAAATCATGTGATAGTAGTCTACTTATAATTGTATTTAAATATAAAAAAGTAAAGGTGCAAGCCCTGAAATGACTCGCTGAAGGCAATGCTGGGAGACGGGCCTCCACGCAGAGCCTTTGTAGAGGACGTTTTGGCCTACTCTTCCACGCGTTCTTCGAGCCTGGCCAGCACGTCACCTACCGATCCACTTAATTGTGGACAGAGGATCGGGGAGGGGTACACGGAACTCGCCCATTGCTTGAGATTATTGAGATTATTTTGGTGCTGTAAATGTCCAAATGATTGGCCACTTTGTTGAGCTATTATATGTGGCCATGTGGCTTCTAAACATTATGTTCGTACCACAGTGGGCTTTGCCTGGTAGGATGGGGACGGTTTAGTTTACTTTGTAAGTGTTTGGGTGATTGGTTTACTTTACTTGTACTTTGCACTACTATAATGTTTTTGTGTTCTGATGTATTATTCTAATGTTCTTACCCGCCCCTCCTGGACATCTGTGAAAACAGGCTTTGTAGCTCATCGGATTCGTCCAGTCTGAACACATATTCTGATTCTGAAATATTCCGAAATCTGCCACACCGGGAGATCGATCGACACTGTGGCCTTTGCATTGCAAGGACAGCGTGCTAACCCTTAAACTATTAGCGCGGCATATCGATGTGTGAATACATGTGGAGCGTCAAAATGCGCAAATACATTTTACAGATTTGAAACGGACGCGGCACCCCTGATTCTGATACCGATGGTCATCGTCCGTTTTTAATCTTTAAAAAAATTAACCCGTAAAAACAAAGTTTTTCACTATAAATCCTTTATATGCGTGGCATCGGTTTTATTTTATTATTCATTTCTGTTTTTTCTTGAGTAAGAGTTTCATTTTTATCACATTGGTATTTTAAATTAAATATGAAAAAAAAATTCCCTAAAAAGTGGAAAATTTGGGAATTTTTTTTCACGAAAATAAATTGTCACGCACAACGAGTCTCTGTGCAAAATGTCAGCTCGATTGGATCACGGGAAGTGGGTTAAAAAACGACCGAAAGATTTGCACGGTCGTAAGCGCGCAAGCAAGCAAGCAAGTGAACTTAATACAAAGGATTTAAAAAAAGATCGTAGCGCAGTTCACGAAGCTCTTTGGGTGTAACGATGAATCGATTGGTGGAGTAGAGATCGATAGTTAAGCACGTGATAAATGCACCTTCGACTTGCGTGGGTAATTGTTGACGTTTTCCCATCTCCATGCATTGGCGTGTAAATTTGTTAGTGTGACCCTTGCAGCCACTGGAGGCACTACAATCTACCGCAATAGTGGAAATACGAAAAAAAGTAATATTATTTTACGAATCGAAGGTTAACCCTAAATTATAACAATTCATAGAATTGCAAGGGTGTGGAGGAAGCGGGGAGGCAGGGGCGTGCATTGTTTTACTCTGACACACAAGGCAAAGATCCCCCACGTAGCCTATTTACTTTTGGGACAAGTGCAGTTAGCGGTCAATTATTAAGGCCAAAACAGCATAGGAGGAGGTGTTGTGACCAGCACTAATTTCCGACCGCCTTTGTCTCCCTAGTGTTGATGTTTACACACCGCACCAGGTACTCATTTGAAGCTGAGTCGACGTAGGGGAGGCCCAGGACCGGTTCAGATAATCGTCACTGGTGTTGGCCGTGAGTGGGAATCGAACCCGGGTCGCCGGGTTCATAGCGCGGCACGCTAACAGCTACACCACCACTCCCCACAAGTCGCACACAACAACGACAACAACCGCCATTCGCCACTAAGTGGCGGTGACGTCACCACGACGCTGGTGCCAGGCTGGGTGCACGTTGAGGCCACGTGAAGTGTCGAACGCCCGCTGGCAGGAGGTCACGGGGCAGACCCAGGTGCCACGGGTCGACTGTCTGTCACACAAAGATAAAAAGATCCCCCATATAGCCTTGACAGACTGTAGGGGCAAGTGCTGTTAGCGAGCACCTATGAAGGCCGGAACGGTACACGAGGGGGTGGGTGGCCAGTACCACGCCCGACCGCCTTTGTCTCCCTAGTGGCAATGTTTACACACCGCACCAGGTACTCCTTTGAGGCTGAGTCGACCTAGGGGAGGCCCGGGACCGGTTCAGATAATCGTCACTGATGTTGGCCGTGAGCGGGAATCGAACCCGTGTCGCTGGGTTCATAGCTCAGCGCGCTAACCGCTCCACCACCGCTCCCCACACACACACGCTGAGTGATGTCAGCATATCGGTACAAAGCTAAACACTCGACATTCGAGGCGTTTGTGCACACTTAGAATTGTGTCGTCTGCCAACGTCGCTGACCCTTGGATGGGAAGGACAGGCTTGTGGTGAGTGGTAGTTGTACGGCGCTGCTTTAAATTGCAATATGAAACGTGAGCTACATTTTAGCTGTACTTCTGCCACTTTTCTGATGTTTAATTTCCGTGAGATGTATCCACTTTGCTATACCGCAAGAACTTTTATTTATCATTATCTTTGATGATTAAAATCGGATTGAGTGCCGGTCATGGCATCTATAAAATTGAACATTGCATATCTGGCGGATATATATACAGTATATATATTCATTTATCATGATTCACGGTTTAATGAGCTACTATACGCTAAATTCCTTATTTAACTAGATGCTGACACATTGCAATATTTAAAATGTGTAGTTTAATTTTTGATATACTTAATCATAAAAAGTGCATTTTACTTTTTCAGCTGTCTTGCAACGACCCTAGACACGCAATTTATATTTTAAGTGTCTCCGAAACGTGCATCAAGTACAAATTAATAATTGAATTCAAATAAAAAAAAACATAAGTTTGTCAGCAGAGTAGAAATTTGCGAAACACCACGGCGCAATGCGAATACAAACAGCAGCTAAGTCACGTGTATCGTTACAGACAGGGCAATGGGATCATTAAAACATTCACAAAGCACCGTGCGCTAATTGCTAAGAGGACAGAGTATCAACTTGCATATCTGGCATCCCTTCAATAGCATTAACAAAGCCACTTGAGTCGTAGCTCGAGAGAAAACATGATATTTTTTTGATCGTACACCCATTGAAATTGCATCCACAAACATCACTTTATCACTTACACGCAAACAACACAACACGCATCGCTCGCAATCACAAACAAAAAAACTACTTATCGAATCAACCGCGGATCTCTTCGAAACGCGAGTGCTCTCGATAGCAACTCTGATTTTTGTTTGCAGTTCAAACAAAACTGCACGTTATGGGGCCGTTATTTCGGCCAGAGTGCATTTTTTTTACACCCTTAATGGGACGCTTATTCCTCAAGGCAGTGAGTTTCTGCCTGAGAGAGCCCAAAGAAAACGGGGTTTATTCCTGCCCCCACCCCTGCCGCCACCCCTTGTCTGCACAGAGAGGGCCTCTAAGCTGCCCGCGGTGTAGAGGGGCAGGCCCATCACGTCTCTTGCACACACAAGACTGTTGTTGTTTGCGCTAAGTCTCGATGTGTCTGGGTGGCAATGCCTCGGCAGGCAGGCGGAGGAGCCGGGGATCAGATGCCAAAGGCTAGGCGGTTGGAATGCGAGGTCAACCGTTGTGCATTCTTATGCAAGCAACCAGATGCACAATTGAATTAAATGTAAAAAAAAAAAAGCTTAAAGGCAGTTTGGAATGAATTATATGCACCCCCCCCCCCATTGGTCCCCCCCCTCCCTGTTTTATGCAGAGCGGGACACAAGACCCTCACAGTGTGTATTTATGCATTTATTTGTGCTAACGTGCGTACCGTTTTGGTGTTTTATCCTATCGCAAAGGTTGGCTTTTGAGTTTTGTCTCTCTGTTGTTTTGTGAAATCGTGCAAGCTTAGAAACTTAAACAGGGTGTATAGAATATGTACAAAATAAAAAAAGATATATCTTATTTACCCATTCACCCCAATCGAATCTCCGCCACTCCGCACCACCACGCAACGGGTTCCGAATGAAGAAAATTTAGTTGTTGCTTGTGCGGTTTTATGCTTGTGTCGCGGTGTATACCGCATGCCTTGGTGTTTTTGTGCCATTAGAAAAGCATTAGCTAGGCTCTTTAAGCCTTGGGCATTTCCCGATCATCACGAGAAATCCTTTGCGAATGTTTTTTCGCGGAATTTCCAACGACACAAGATACCACCTCGTGGAGAGAATTGGTTTAGTGCTTTGAGTATCAAGTCGTCATCACCGGCAGCCGTGGTCACTCCACTGCTGGACGAAGGCCTCCACAACCGCCTCCGCCACTTCTCTCGGTCCTGCTACGTAACAAAAATAGCAAAAAAAACTTCAACGTTTATTCAAGACGCCGTTGGTTTGTCAATAAACTGTTGGACAAGGACCTCCCCTCACCATTGGAACCTCATTTGCCAGTAAAAAATATGATAATTGGTTTTTTACCCTTCTCTCTGACAACAAAACTGACACCTTTTTACAAGGAGTCATGTTTGCATAGACCACAATACCTGCAGCCATAATGCAAACAAAAAACCTAACTCTGATAATATATGCACTGACCTTGAAGTTGATTGGTCCACACCCGAGACAGCTTTCCTTAGAGCCTAGTCTCACATGGGTTGGACCAGATGACGCATTATGGCTGCAGGTATTGTGGTCTATGCAAACATGACTCCTTGTAAAAAGGTGTCAGTTTTGTTGCCAGATAGAAGGGTAAAAAAACAATTATCAATGCCCTCCCCTGCCGCGCGCAGGTCGACGGAGCCTATTTGACTCTACTTCGCCACGCTGGTCGTTGCGGGTTGGTGAAGGCGGCGAGCATAGACATGGGTGCTTTGAAGTACAGTACAACAATGCACTTTGCTGGTACTGCCTTTCACTGTGCACTGCAGCGTACAAGATCTGTTTCCTGCAGTGGGTCGCCCATCTAAGCACTATCGAGGCTTAAGGCTGCTTAGCATGTGTGACCTGACGGGACTGGGGTGCGTTCCGCGTGATTTAGCGACTCAGGCCTGTATATAAGTGAAGATGGATTGAACAGTTATCGGTCACTTCTATCACGGAGCAGTGCTCACATCTCTCAATTACAATCGTGAAGAAATAGTAGAAATTCCACATTTCTATGGCGGGGGCGAGTAGATATTTTATATATAACTATGGCACAACCTCCGTTAACTTTCCACAGTGATATAGAAAACACACGATGCTGTTCATACACTATTAATATACTGCATGACAGATGTATACGGCACATATAAATAAAAGTACCCTTCATTTTCGTTCAGAACATAATACGTTTTTTTTATTTAAAATTAAAGCAACGGCTCGAAAACATTTGAAGACTCCACGGCGATATTAAAGGACGTAACACTTCGAGTGTAACAGTGATTCTACAATAATCAAAATTGTTGGCATTGAGAAATATCACGTAACATATATCCATTAAAAATAAAAGACCCCTCCTCCCTTCCCCCCATCTCCCCCGCCTGCCTGGCAGCAAGAAGGTTGCATCGAAATATAAGACGTTTAACTTTGCCTTATTGAAATTATAAGGATGAATGATTTTGGCTTTCTCTTTGCAACTCAATCTGTATTGTGGGTGGTCTCTTCACGGTTCTTCGGTTTTTTTTTAGCACTGATTGTTCTCATTCGGAATGGGTGTATCCGTTCCTGTCCGCACTCAGGAAGATAAACAGCAACACATAGGCCCACGGAAATTGTATTATTATTTTATCCATTTTTTTTTCTTTCTCGACCCCCGCATTGAGAGACGGTTGTGTAACCTTGCACGTAGAAAAAATAAAAATCACGTTGCTTTATAAATCACAGCCAGCGGTTTTCTCAAGTCGCACCGTACGGGACATTTGCACCGATGATATCGGCTGCGAGATCCGCTGATCCGAATTGAAATTTTGCATCGACAAGTTACGTGACGACGTTTTAATACGTTTGTCCAGAAAGCAACGGTAGTGCCAATCGTTGCGGAGAGTCCAGTCACATCGAGTTGGAAGTATAGAGTTGGATGATGAGAGCCGGTACTGGAGAACGACAGGGGCAGTGGGGATGGTGGGGGAAGGGACATGCTTCACCACTGCGGTCACTGAAGACTGTGATTCCCCACCCAAAACAGTGCGCGATGTTGAAGAAGCATGTATAATCAGGTCACAAAAGCAATGCACAGATCCACTGCTGGATGAAGGCCTAACCCAGGGGGTGATGGATCATGGGGGACGTCGTTTGACCATACTTCGCCACGCTGGTCGATGCGGGGTTAGCGAAGGGTCGTCCGGAATGGCATCACCAGTTCAGCGATCGCTCGTCACCGACACCCTTCATGGTCCGCTACGAACAAACCGAGTTCGCTGCGTTGATACGGAGTGTATATTTGTTCAACACAATGGAATACAACTTGAAGTGTATTGAAGAAAAATTAGTAATAATGTAAGAGCTGTCAAATTCATTTTGAGAGCTCGGGGTAAGCATTTACTCTATGAGATCTCTTTTACCAGTGGCAAAATATAGTAGTAGGTTTTTACCCTTTTAAACTCTGATATTGCACTGTGTTTGAGTTGTACGCCTTCTGGTGTCATCTGGTCCAACACCAATGGGGACTAGGCTCTAAAGAAAGCCGTCTCGGGTGTGGACCAATCAAATTCAAGGACAGTGCATATTATTATCATTATCAGAGTTGCTTCTTTTCGTTTGCTTTTTTGACTACTTGTGTTGTGGTTATTGAAAACATGATGCCTTGAATAAAGGTGTCAGTTTTGTACCAGTTTAAAAGGGTAAAAACCTACTACTAAAAGACGTAAGTCCTTTTTGTTGTTGCGTTACCTTTAAACACTGGGTAGAGAGTCGAATAGACCGCATAGCAACGTGAAAGGTTTTTTCTTTTTCTCGGACATTGAAAGCAGCAGTGAGGAAGAGTTGACCCCCGGGTCAAGCCGAGGATCGGTTAGAGGGGGAGGAGGCCGAATATTCTGGACTCTGGCGGAATGAACTTTGAGCCCGGTGACCCGAGTTTGGTACCTGGCCACGTCTGACATCGGCGTGAAATATAAACCCGTCCTGGGCCCACCTTCACGAAACCCCACGTTGACCGCGCGTGGTGAAATATGGTCAAACGGCCTCCGTTACCCCCCCCCCCCCACACACACACACGCACACATGCAACGTACGAAGGCGCTCATATCAGCAGTGGGTTGACAACGGGCTCTATACAATTGCGAAAAACAATTTAAGTATCTAACGCACGTGACCAGGCATGCATGCACTTACTGTACACGTGCACCCGTCCGTAAATACCCAGTTTGAAATAAAAAACACAACGCAAGGGGCTTCATGAAGACAAGCAAATGCTGACTTGGTACCCAGTTCATCTGTGTCAGAGGATGTATTCTCTCCCGTGGTTAGCATCGGCGGCATGCACCCCTCTCGCGAATCAACATTCAGCTCCAGGGGATATAATTCCCGTCCAACAGGTTGCATCAAGTGTGCGCCGTGGCCTCAGAAAGTGATGTTTTTTTCGCTGAGCGTGGCTGTAAAAGGAGGAGTCTTATTATGTCTCTGTTATGACAACAGAGACGCGAATTCACTACACGTATGTGTGTATGCATGTGTGTGTGTGCGCGCGCAGGGCGGGCGGGCATATAAAACGTACACTTATTATAATTACTTTCATTGTAAAAATTGCACTTACGAGGGTGTAAATAAATTGCCATGCGGAGGGATTGTTATTGAGCCACGTATCCCGTGGCTTTTGTGCTCGCGCGGAGATTTTCTGTGTGCCGCAACCGGCGATGAAAATGATGTGTGGCTTGCGCAAGTCTCTCTATTATTATATTTTTTAGAGGCATGGCCTGGGAAAAAAAAAAAGTGTCCGGCTACACATGCTGCTACAACTACCCCCCCCCAAAAAAAAACAAAGATCCCCCGTATAGCCACACAACAGACTGGCGAAAGTGTCGAGCACGGCACACGAGGGGGGTGGGTGGCTAGCATCACGGTCCGGCCGCCTTTGTCTCCCTAGTGGCGATGTTTATACACTGCACCAGGTACTCATTTGAGCCTGAGTCGACCTACGGGAAGCCCAGGACGGTTTGAGATCATCGCCATTGGTGTTGGCCGTGAGCGGGAATCGAACCGCTACGCTACCGCTCACTACTACACCCCACAACAACCACCACCACCACAACGGGCACCACCACGGATACCACCACGGTATAAGTTTTCGGAGTCCCCGGTAAGAAAAAAACTGCAGCGTTGGCTTTCACGGGAAGGGCATTGAGCAGGTTCAGATGCTTCCCATGCTTAAGCCCACCAGATTTCGGATTAAAAATGCCAATAAAGTAGTTTATTTTTTTAAGTGGCTTGCATGCAATCAGCTGGTAAGGAGACCCTATCGCCTCGTAGTTTGACCCGAGCTGGTATAAACCAGTGCCGTTGCCAGAAATGCTTTCTTCTCTACATGAGACACAGTCAGTGTTGCTCAAAGAAAACAACAACAGCAGCAATGCACGAGCGGTCGTTTGTTAGTGCACTGCTGGATGAAGGCCTCTCCGCATGCCGTGTCACTCGTCTGGTTCATTTGAGCACCATTGTTGGATTGATAAAGGTCTGTAAAGTATATTTTTTCATTGTTATATACAGTATATACACATATACATTTCTTGCACAGCATATATAGAGTTTAACACGTAGGCTTTCGCGGCCAATGTTATTCATAATCAACGTTTTTGGGTTTAGATCGCGTTATTTCTCAAATTGTAAATGTTGTGGCTTCAACACACCGGTGGGCTAAAGCAGTGAACTATTTGTCTTTGTCAACGTGACACTTTTTTACTGATTGTCCGTGTCGGGTGGTGGAGGGTTACGACACATTTATAAGTAACGCGATCTAAACCCAAAAACGTTGATTATGAGCATATATAGAGTAGAAAGATGACCGTTTAATTTTGGAGCAATTAAATATGTTAATTGATAATGATTCCGAGATGCCTTAAATGCACGATTTCATTGCCTTGCGGCCACACACTGCTGATGAAATGTTTCCGTGCGGAACGGTGAATTTGGAGTCCCTCTGCGAGCGGGTCTTGGCGTGGCATAGCAGTAGCACCGTGTCGAGCAAAAATCCACGGTGGCATTGCGAGATTCTTTAGCTGAGAAGACGGGGGAGGGGGGTAGGTGCGTAGAGGGGCGAAATATAACATTTTTTTTTTACAAAACTCTGACAACTGTTGCAAAAGCTATAAACCAGCTACTTCGGTATAAACCATGCATCACCAATACGGGTTGGTTCAAGGTT